TCCTGCTGTGGGATGGCTCCTGCTGTGGGCTGCTTCTGCCCAGCCTGCACTGAACATCACTGATGGATGATGGTCAGCCTGCTCCTTCCCTGAGCCGGGCACTTGGGCCCAAAGAGGGTGGTTTGTCTTTGGCTGAAAAAGCCACGGCATGCTCCCATCCTCAGACCTGTTCTGATCCCTCAATCAGTTGTTTCAGGCTACTAAGTCACTCAGTAGTGTGATGAATGTAAAAAGCAACAACACACCTGTTTGTAGTTCAAATGCCTAGCTTGCACCAAAGAGCACAAGGAAACCAGCAGGTTCTCCCCAAGAAGCCATGGAGTTGAGGACGTTATCTCTTGCATATTGTCCTGCATGACCACGTTTGCCCACCCCTGGCAGAGCCATTCACCCTTACCTTGGTCCTGAGCGGGGCAATGGGCACATCTTTGGTGGAGACGCAGAGCAGCACGATGCCTGTCAGTCCTGCCACGATCACCAGCCAGGGAGGAAGGAGCTCTCGCCAAGACATGGAGCACTTTATACTTTTTCAGACAGTAAAAGAGGAAGCACAGGAGCAGCACAGAGCCCACATCTGACAGCGGCTCCTTTCGGCAGGCTTTAAAAAGAGGAGAAAGGCGGAGCCGGGGCCAGTCTCTGGCTTCAGCCCAATCCCAAGCCGCAGGACCATGAGAAGCACATGGGCTGAGCCATGAGTCCTTTGCCGGCCATGCAGTTGGTGCAGCTGGCTTTGTGCCATCCCAGCGCTCACTCAACAGCGCTGCAACCTCGAAACCGCCCTGGGCGATGGTGTTGAGGTAAACAAAAATGCTGGGCGAACTCTGTTTAATAAGCAGAAAGCAGGCAAACTCTCATCGCTTTGGTATTCTGTGCCTGGCAGTGCTAGTGAGAGCTGCCAAAATTAGAAGTCAGGAAACTCCTTGTAGCTGGGTTTCCTTTTCATCCGAGAGCTGCGCACGGCTCCACTGTGGGTCTGGGGCACTCCCTGCAACATGCCTTTGTCTGTGAGAGGTGGTTTTGGCATACTGGGAAAATGTCTGTGTGTTTGGGTTTCCATGTGCAGGAGGCTCTGGGTGGCTTACCCTTTGCTATGGGGGCTGCTCGGGCCGTTTGTCCACCCGAGATGAGATCGCTATCAGTGCCTGCATGCCCCTTCTCAGCATCCCCATGGGATGGACAGCCCTAGACTTAACAAAACGTGCCCCTCTTCCTCCTTTCCTATGTCACAAAGACACATCTCTGAAACCAGAATTTCTGAAGAAAAATCTCATAGCCACAGGAGGGATATTTCCTTCAAGTATTCTGATCAGTTTCCTAGTGATTGGGTCCAGTAATAAAACTGCAGCTGCTCTAAAAGATTTTTGGCTTGAGCAAGCTGGGCTGTTAATTGGTACAGACTTGTCCCAGTGGCCACTGGAGGCTTCCCCTGTCAGGCCTCTTCCTGCAGAACCAGAAGAATGGCACCCAAAAACACCATTCTGGTGTGTTTGGAGATGTGTGTCGTAGTGTTAGAGCTGTTTAAGCCTTGTTTTCCTGCAGATTCAGAGTCATGTTGGGGTTTTGTGGCTCACACCAGGGTGTTTGTCTGAGAGATCGTGCCTGTGGGCTGCTCATGGCAGTTCACACCAACATTGTGGCACTGAAAAAGAGGCAACCTTGAGACAAGGGGTTCTTATTTTTGCCCCTGCTTCAGGTGGACTGGGAGGCTCTAAATCATGAAGTTAGAGTTGTTCTGCCAACTGCTGGGCAGTTGCCGGAAGGGTTTTTGTGATGACTTGAATTTGAACTTCTTTGAACTAAAAATGTGCAAATATTCCTATGCAGCCACAAGGGAAAGTACTGCAATCAGCTTCTGCGTGCCATGTCTGGATAGGTTGTCTGAGGTACGAGGTGTCCGTGTGAAAACTCATACAAATCTCAAAGTAACCCAGCTGGAGATTCCAGCCAGGCAGGGAAGAGAACAACCTGGGGCATGGCAGGAGATCTCATGGAGAATAAAAGTAGGATTATTATTCCACTCTGTAGCAACTATCCTGAAAGTTTGGTCCTGTGGAGGCCAAAGGATGGTTGTGGAAGGGCTCCTTTCCCTTGCTGTCTGTTGCAAATCTCCCAAAACACAGCCAAAAGACAAGAGCTTGGGAGGAGACACTGATTTATTCTGCACAGGGTGTGAGGTGGGATATTCCCACAAATCTAGTGCACAGGCTGTACACTGGCTTCTGTTATAATCCAATAAGTTTTCATGACTCACCTATCTAATATGTAATGACAGAAAAAGAGGGAATGGCCTCAAGCTGCACTAGGAGAGGTTCAGGTGTGGATGTTAGGAAGAATTTCTGCCCCAGAGGGAGGTGTTCCATCCCCCAGAGCATTTCTGTGGCCCTCCTGTGGATGTGCTCCAACAGGTCCCCATCTCTCATAACCACTCCTACCTAGTGCATATTCATAGGATTACGTACATACTAGGTTACATGACATATTTGAATCTTCTGAGCTCATTTGGGACCTTCAGTGTTCTTTGGTGGAAGTCTGGGGAGGTGTCCCACTCTTTGGTTATCCATGGGTAAAAGGACACCTCGTCCCTTCTGGCTGGCCGCTGTCTGGGACTTGTACCTCCTCTGGATGGCTGTCCTTGTTCCTTATTTACGGCACCCGGATCTTTGAAGAGAAGGTCCATCACAGGAAGGTTGTTTTTCTGCAATAAGGAGGACATCTGGAACTTAAAGCTGTGCTTGAGCCTTCAGCCACACAAAAACGTTAAATAATCGCCTTCTGAGTCATCTCCCTTTATGATGTTCGCTGCTTTTCCCGATCTCATCCCCTCCTTCCCGGGATCAGCCGCGAGGTCTCAGCTTCCCGGAACGTTTGTTCGGCGGATCGAGTTCCGGACGGACGGAACGAGCGTCGGACCGCGCCGCGCTGGGGGACCGGGAGCGGACGGACCGCGGCGGGAGCGGGGCCGGCTGGGCGGCCGGCTGCCATGTACGCGGGGCTGCAGGAGCTGGGGGTGGCCAACGGCGAGGATCTCAAGGAGACGCTGACCAACTGCACGGAGCCGCTGAAGGCCATCGAGCAGTTCCAGGTGGGGCGGGTCGCCACGGAGACGGCGGGGCGAGGAGGCCCGGGTGGTGTCCGTGCTTTGTTTTGGGGTGAGAGGGCCGCGGGTGGTGCCTGTGCTTTGCTCCGTGCTCTTTTGGCCCCTTTTTTAATTATTATTTTTTTAGCAGCCTTTGCTGACCGCCTCTGTCCCCCGTTTGTGTTGGCAGACAGAAAATGGGGTCCTGCTGCCCTCGCTGCAGTCGGCCCTGCCCTTCCTGGACCTGCACGGCACCCCCCGGCTGGAGTTCCACCAGTCGGTGTTCGACGAGCTGAGGGAGAAACTGCTGGAGCGAATCTCAGCCATCGCCTTGGAAGGGAAGGTGGAGGAAAGGTCTGTAGGCTGGTTGGTTATGTGGGCTGGGAGGGGGATTTAATGTGAATGTTATCTGCAGTGGGCAAATGGCTTCTGAAAAAGGCTTGAGTCTTCTGGAGGCTCAAGTTGCAGTGTTTGAGATGACTTTTGCAGTTAAATGGTAGTTAGAGTCTCTTGGTCTTATTTGTTTTCAGGTACGAGAAGCTGGAAGATCTCCTGGAGAAAAGCTTTTCCTTGGTCAAGATGCCGTCCATACAGCCTGTGGTAATGTGTGTCATGAAGCACTTGCCCAAGGTAAAACTTCTGCTTAGGCTGGCCTGATCAGTTGTGTCCATGGTGGTTTGTTCAGTTGCATCTCTGTTGTACGACTTCTCTTGTCTGTGCTGTTGGCTGGGCTGCAGGCTCCAGCTGCAGATGCTCTGCAAGCATCAGTGCAACTGACTGAATATTTACTGGACT